TTTTTTTCTTTTAAGCACGTTTGAGTTCCTTGTAGATCAAGATGTTAACCTTTGTCAGACCTGGAGTGGCAAAGACTTTTTCCCAGTCTGTAGGCTGTCTCCCTGCTCTCTTGATGGTTTCTTTGGCTTTGCAGAAACATGTCAGTTTAATGAGGTCCCACTTGTCTATCTTCTCTCTTATGACCCGTGGGTTTCGGGTTTTGTTCAGGAACTGGATGCCAGTTCCGATTTCCATGAGGGTATGTTCTTCATTTTCTAAGGTTCTTATGGTTTGAGGTTTTACATTTAGGTCTCTGATCCATTTGAAGTTAATTTTTGTGAGTGGGGATAGAAGGGGTCCTGTTTCAGTCTTCTGCATGTGGTCAGCCAGTTTTCCCAGCACCATTTACTGAATAGGTTCTCCTCTCCCCAGTGGTAGATGGTGGAGGCTTTGTCGAAGATGAGTTGGTTGAGAAATTGAGGTTTTGCTTCTGGAATCTCAATTCTATTCCATTGATCTATATGCCTGTTCCTATACCGAAACCAAGCTGTTTTGATGATTGCAGCTTTATAGTAAAGTTTGAAGTCTGGTAATGTAATACCACCTGCTTTGTTTTTTTTGCTGAGGATTGTTACTGGCTATTCTTGGTCATTTGTGTTTCCATGTGAATTCCTGTGTTGTTTTTTCTAGGTCTGAGAAGAATGTTGCTGGTAATTTGATAGGTATTGCATTGAATCTGTAAATTGCCTTAGGTAAGATGGACATCTTCACAATGTTGATTCTTCCAATCCACGAGCATGGGATATTTTCCCACTTGTTTGTGTCATCTTTGATTTCTTTGAGCAGAGTTTTGTAGCTTTCATTGTAAAGGTCTTTCACGTCTCTTGTTAGGAAGATGCCAAGGTATTTCATTTTTTTTTGTGACTATTTTGAATGGAATTGTGCTTTTTATTTGGGTTTCTGTTTGTTTATTGGTGTAAAGAGATGCGATTGTCTTTTGCATATTTATTTTATATCCTGAGACTTTGCTGAAGGCCTTTATCAGTGTAAGGAGGTTTTTGACAGATTCTCTTGGGTTTTCAGGGTACACAGTCATGTCATCTGCAAAGAGAGATAATTTGACTTCCTCTTTTCCTATTTGGATACCCCTGATTGCCTTCTCTTCTCTGATTGTTCTAGCCAGGACTTCGAATACTATGTTGAACAGGAGGGGTGAGAGTGGGCATCCTTGTCTTGTTCCAGTTTTCGGGGAAAATGGTTCCAATTTTTCGTTTAGGAGTATGCTGGCTGTGGGTATCTCGTATATGGCTTTTACTACTTTGAGGTATGTTCCCTGTATGCCTAGATGTTCGAGGGTTTTTATCAAGAAGGGGTGCTGGATTTTATCAAAAGCTTTTTCTGCATCTAATGATATGATCATGTGGTTTTTGTTTTGACATCTGTTGATGTATTTAATTACATTTATGGTTTTATGAATGCTGAACCAGCCTTGCATCCCAGGGATGAAGCCTACTTGGTAATGATGGATGATTTTTGAGATGTGTTGTTGAATCTGGTTTGCTAGGATCTTGTTGAGAATTTTAGCATCTTATGTTCATCAAAGATATTGGCCTGTAGTTCTCTTTCTTTGTTGGATCTTTACCTGGCTTGGGTATCAATGTGATGTTAGCTTCATAAAATGATTTGGGGAGGATTCCATCTTTCTCAATTGCCTGAAATACCTTCAGTAGGATTGGAATCAGCTCCTCCTTAAATGTCTTGTAGAATTCTGCTGGAAAGGCATCTGGTCCAGGGCTTTTTTTTGAAGGTAGTTTTCTTATTACATAGTCAGTTTCCTTGATTGTTATTGGTCTATTTAGGGTCTCAATTTCTTCTTGTTTCAGCCTAAGCAGGTTGTGTGATGACAGAAAGTCCTCCATTTCCTTGAAGTTTTCAAGTTTGTTTCCATACAAGTGTACGTAGTAGTCTCTGATGATCTTTTGTATTTCTTCAGGGTCAGATGTGACTTCATCTTTTGTGTTTCTGATTGTG